CGCGCCGTCGTCCAGGAAGAGCGGGTTCACGCGGCTGACGGCGAACAGTCCGCGCGCAGCCGCAGCCGCGTGCAACGCCGCCAGGGGCGCTCCGCTCAGCGCCGCGCCTGCGCATGCGCAGCAACGCCACTTATTTAGTCAGAGAACAATAAGAAAAAGCTGAATGTGACTTATGCGGGAGAATGTTTTTAGCGTTTTCAAATCATCTATGTTTATATTAAAAGATTCTTGTTTTAAACATCGGTGAATTCAAGGGGATGCTTTTATAACATCGATGTTGTTTTTGTTATATAAGAACACCTTAACATCAAGGTCATTAGCGGCCACTATTGCATTTAACGGTATGATAACTGTGAAGATGATATGAGGCGGTGATGATAGGGGGTGAAAGGACGAACACAATACAAGTTGATCGGGATTCGCTGAATACCACATGTGAGGAGCCGCCTTAATGTACAACCATGCCCGAGGCGGGACTCGAATCCGCGATGCTTCGGTCAGAGATCGCTACGGCACTACTGCCTTACCGATCTCGGACACTGGACCGGCATCGTTGTTTTGTGCTCGATGTTTTCACGTTTCAATCATTCCATGTTTGGTTTGCGAAAGAAAAATTCCCCAAATCCCAATTTTGTAAAAGTTAAAATAAGAAAAAAATAACTGACGGTACCACTGCGAAAGTGTTCTAACCAATTTTCTTCGTCTTCCCTCGTGGTTCGCACATGTAGAGGCGTTTTATACTATAACTTTGTTTTCAGTTAAAATTGAATTGTAAATTAATATTCACGTCTACTGTCAAATTAAACTTTATTGCACACCAACTTAATGTTAAAGGCTACTAAAGCAGCTTTAAAACTTAGATGGTTTTGGCGCGATGTATTATTGACATCGATGTTAAAATGTTTTCTTGTCGATATTACATCCCAACATAACAGCTGATCCTCGCTCAGACATTGGGCCAGATAGTCGCCTTCGAATCGTTACGTGTCGGTAACATAATACATTTAAATATGAAATGAGAGGTGGTTGTAAAAGAAACATACACAACCTTACTCCGTTAGTGAGGTTAAGCTGATGTACGTCTTGTTAAATAATTGAGTTTGGTCGAAGAAAGCAAAGAAAGAAAAAAATGATTCCTTTCTGTTGACTGACGCTCACTTTGGACTGATGGACGTACTTTCGTGTTTGCCTGAAATATTCGGTTGCAGCCGAATAGGCTCGCATGAGCGCGTATTCCGTGGAACATGATACACTATAAAATCACAGAAACGGATGGCCAGGCATTAAAATTTCCGAATAGTGGAGGTTTGGAGGCATCGCTTATCTTCTTACTGCTCCAAGTTCAATTGATGAGCTTAGCAGTAGAAGGGACTCTCCCACATTATTTGTAAAATTAATTCATTAGCATTAAAAATAAATTGATTAATACATTTCATTCTTTTAGTGTAATATGTTATTTAAATCCAGTATGCACGTATTTGCTCGTGTTCTGTTTTTAAACGTTTGAAAGTGTACAGAGTATTATTATGAGCTGTAATACCTCAGAACTAGGTCAGTGCGGCATAGCCCTTCAATTGCAAGAGGTCCGTCCCCCCGTAGCACTACTCACCGAAGGCGGCCGGGTCGGCGGGGTGCGGGTGCGCGTGGGCGTCGGCGGCGGGACCGGCGCCCGCCGCCTGCTGCTGTTGCTGCTGCTGCTGCTGCTGCAGCCACTTGAGCATGGGGTCGGCGCCCGCGCTCAGGCTCAGGCCCAGGTCGGGGAAGCCCCGGCGCAGGCCCGCGCCCGGCGGCGGCGGCGCCCCCTGCGCCTGCTGCTGCTGCGCCTGCTCCGGCATGCGCACTGCAACACGCACACACACGCCAACATTTCACTCGACATGGAATGGATGGTCACGCCTCGGAACCGCAACTCTAAACATGGAATGGATGGTCAAGCCTCGGAACCGCAACTCTAAACATGGAATGGATGGTCAAGCCTCGGAACCGCAACTCTAAACATTTAATGGATAGTCAACCGTGCGCCGGATAACCGTTATATAACCGTGCGCCGGAATAAGGCGAATTTTCGGCAGGAAAAACTCGTATTGCTGGGCCCGGGTAAGGAAAAAGTGGATAAATCCAGTTGCTAAATTTAGGAGGGAGGGAATCCTCTAATACATGGTCTAGCCACAATCCAAGTTTTGTGGGTCCTTCACTCATCATTATTTTGTCGATACAGAAAAGTGACCGACAAGACTGGAAGTAATTTGTACGAAAAATTGACGCATGCTGAATTTTTCGGTACACATTTTATCCGGTTTGAATACCGTACTTCTGCCGCCACTTTTTGGAACTCTCTCTGGGTTGTGTGTGTCGGGCGATTTTTTTCTGTTGTAGAGATTTGCGAATATTCTAATGTGTTGTGTAATATGAAGTAATTATTTAGTGAGAAATGAAGCATATTCTGTTGTTATATCTCGTCCAGTGCTCTGTCCATACATAACCTATTTTAATTTGTTACCGTAGGTGCTACGTTTAACTGTTTGATCTTGAGATCATTTTGTGGCGTCCAGAGGAAATACTTTCATGGCGAAAGCGTGCAGAAAACCAAAAGATCGTGTAAATCGCTAGTTTTCGTTCATCCAGTTGAAGTACTGAAACAGAAGGCCATAGAAATGAACGTACCCTTTCCATCAATTTTCAGTACCGAAAAATGACGAAAAAATGAACGTGTAGAACGGGCTTTGCAGGAGAATAAAATGAATTCCTCATCACCCCCACCACCCGTCTCTCGTACTAAATGTGCTCACATTAAGGTGTGATTTAATAACCAACCTGAATTATGATTTGTGCCGTTTAAGATATAGAAATGCGGTTTTGATCATCTTATAGACGACGTAGTCGCCCATTCTATTATGCAGTTGATAGGTTCCAAAAATTTCGCTACGGTGTTTTTTAGATAGTCTACTTCGCGCCGGACGTCAAACATCCCGTTGCCATGGACTGCCGTTCGCTGCTCCACAAAGCACAAGGAAAACTAAGAGAGCTCCAAGGTACAGTGAGGTAACTCTAAGGTAAGAGCGCCTGGAAATCTTGCTTAAATATACCATTGAGCGTATTGTCAGAATTTCAACACAGAAATTATGAAGATAATTAGAATTTCAATTCTAATGAAGTAAAATCATTCTATGGTCCCAATAAAAAAACAAGTTTTCTAAAATTCACCCGCAGTGAAAATATTAAAAGCCGACCAAATACCTCATTTTGTGCACTTCAACGTGATCTATTTAAAGCTGAAAACCGCATTGTGATATCATCACCGACACATTTTTTTGGGGGGGTTGGGGATAGTAATTAAATCATACCTTGTTTGGAACAAGCCTGGTGGGGATAATCTGTTTAGCAGAAATTGACATCCGACAATTCAAACATTTCATTTTTTTCTACACAATGCGGCATCACACATCTACAACTCCACACAACAATAATACTCTTCCACTTCCTTACTAGAATGACGATCTCAGAAGGATTAATCAAACGAAACGGCGAAGCAAAATAGGCGAATTATCCAACCGAAGTGACGCGAGAACGGGAAAAACTAGCACGCGCTGACCGACATACTCCGCGTCGGTACGGCAGCCGGCGTGACAATGCGGGCCCGCATCTCGGTGCGCTCAAGGCGAGCGGGCGATGCCTTCCACGAGGTCGCGCGCCGTGCGGACCTGCCGTGACGCCAAACGATTGCTTTGGAAATCCCGACATAAATCTGCGGACGCGAAGCAGCCGCTCCGCCCTCTATTACATTCTATTATATTTGCAGGCTGCCACACACACACACACACACGTCTCTATTACCCTCGCAGACAATGGTTACGGTCTAGTCATGATTTATATGGATGAGGATGTGGGGGGTAAGGTTTCCATCGGCGATGTTTCAAGCGGGACTCAGAATTAACGGGAAATGAAGTATGGAATTTGGAATGTATTGGCGTACGCCAGGGAATGGAACCGAAAATCAAAGATAACCGTGGAAACTAGGTTTACTGCAGATATGAACCGTTTAATGGTATTGTGTGAAATTAATAGTTTTTATATTGATTACGTGTCAAGCAGCAAAATGGCATTTTGGTTTTAAAATACGGTATAATGGACACGTTCACGGATGATTCAAGAACTGATATGGAAAGTAGCGTCATTGGTGCTAATAAATCTATTAGAACAGAAGCATCATGGAAGGAATTTGTTTTATTATCCATTTCAGAAAAAGTGAATCATGAAATGGAAATATATTGTTGTGTTATTACGTATATCCTATTTTCCTATCGGCGGGTGACTAATGTCAAACAAGTGAATTTACTTCCCGCAACAAAGCCGGCCATTTCATTTAACGCTCCACCGCTACACTTCCACGTGTGGAACCGACTCCAACTTGGCCAATAATGAAGCATTTTATTCCCGCCATTAAACACGGAAGCACCCGACCGCAAATTTGGTGGGAATTAACGCTCATCCCCACATCGCGATAACTCCCGACACGGGAGCTTTTCGCGTGACCTGCAATCGCAAAGCTGTCCGGCGAGGAGCATTCAACGACCACGGGGCGACGACGGGCAGTTGTAAAACAATTGAGTTTACGATTGAATCGACGCCGTTCAGACAGAATGCTCACTCCGGGAGCAGCAACGGTGGAGTATCACGACGTCCGCCATCCGCAAGCACGGATTTCGGAGCTGGCAACCTGTTGCTCGAAAAAATATACAGATTAAAGGGAGCAAAAAAGAGTTATCTGCAGAATATGGAAGTGAAAAAACGCATAGAAGCTACATTTCACGTGACGTAAACCACAAAATTTGATGCGGCTTACTCGCAACTGAGTAATGCGTTGAAACACAAAGACAGAAGAAAAAAGGCTGATTTTTTTCTCATTACTTTTCATAAAACGGTAATTTAGACATTTAAAGATAAGAATGTTACATTCCGGGAAGCTGGAATAATGGCGAATATGTGTATTGTGGATACGTTTTAGCTAATCTGCAGGTGTGAACTTGACAATAAAACCACGTATAGAAGAGATGCAAGTGAACATGACACGATTTATGACACATTTCCTCTGATAAGACCTACAAAATCAGCATCATATGGTAGAGTTCACCCCTAAGAAACGATAATTACGTAGGTCATGAAGAAATTATTTTTCTCTCAATAAAGGGTTCATTACTAAAAAAATGTATAGCTATGTTACAGTGAATGTTATACAAAAATAATCTCGAGATTTTGCAAAAAAGATTTCTGGTAAATCTTGTTCCCTATTTGAATACAATGAACCAATCTTTCCCAGCAAATTTCAATTAATCTTTATTCCTTTTGCCGTCACCATTACCTACCAAAGCCATCATGAATCAAGAGGATACACCTGTTCCTAAACGATGAAGTACGCAACTTTATGATTGCCGGCGTAAATGTACACATCCAGAGAAAATTATTTACTTTTTCCTCTATTTTGCTCTGTCAATAGTTGTCAAGTGATAATGTCACACACTGCCCATGTTTCCAACAAAGGAACCTTTTATGCATATCGATCCAGCTATAAGGAAAATGAAACGAGAGAACTTCTGGTCTATCAGAGAGAGCTATCACGAATTCGGCGAATAAGGTAAGGAAAGTACGCTCCAGATTTACTCGCGTCTGTGTGCCATTGCCGCCCGCACAAAAAAGAAAGCCAATCGGCAGCGTTCGCCCCCGGCGCCCGCTGTTCGGTGCATCAGATACGCCTGCATTGACCGCGTTCCAGCTGCAGAGCAAGGGCGGAGACGGCGCAATGGAGAAAGGCAGCTACGGTTGTGGAGAACATTCAAGTACGCAATCAGCTAGGAGATAATAGATTTTCGCCAAATGTAATTCGTCAATATTTGTATTTAGCCATTTTGTGTCCCGTAAAGGGCAACTAATCTCGGCGCTGTTAGATCCCTAGTTTCCCAGACGGTCACCCAGCGAGAAACCCGCGATATCTCGAATTCGCTTTACCTCGTGACTTCACGCAGAATGCGACTGCCGACTTCCATTTTGCGGTTCCAGCCTTTCAGTAGAACCATCCCAGCATTCAACTGGTGACCTAGAGAAACCACGAAAATCCCGGTCAGGATAGCTGGCAAGGAGATTAAACCCGGGCCTCCCGAAGTCAGGGCATTTCGCCCTTAGCCACTGAGCATGTTGTCAATGATATGGAAACGTTCAAATGCTGTATGGTTCACGATATATACTTAATTTGTAGAGCAGGCCTACCGAAAAAGCATCTATAATAATACTATTAAATTGAGACACAGGCCACACATGTCGGAGATATTGCAGATGGCAGAGAAGAATGGGAAATTTTAGAAGTCACCAGCAATGCGGAATAAGAACAACTCGGACCGTGAAATAGTTATATGATAGTCGTGATAAATTGCAGATAGATAAACTACAGATATCGAAAAAGACAAAGGAATCAATTGAAAATTCGAAATCGAAATCAAGTTTTCAAGTTCATAGCGAAAGGGTCGTGAAGAATAGTCAGAGTAGGACAGCAAATAAAAGAGAAATAACGGGAACAGGCGGAGATTAGGATAGAAATAATAAATACGCAGTGCACTCTCAAAAATGTCTTTAAATTTAATGCTGATGAATGTATCATATATTAAAATTAACGTAAGCGTGTACATTTTATGCACAAGTTAAAATCACAGTAGATTAAACGGCGAGGTTCTCACGCTTCCCCTACCTTTCACCATAGATTAATAATCATCAGTCCATCAATATTATTATTCAGTTAATTCATTCATTCACTTCAGATAACACCATAAGCTTTAACTCTTGCATCCTTAT